CCGCCGATGGCAGGTTGAGATCCCCCATAACTATAAGTCTAGGGGTCTCAACCGCCACCCCGGCTATCACGTCAGCCAGCTCAGGCAGGGCCGTTGACACATAGCAGGGGGCCAGGTATATTATCAACAGGCCCACTTGCACCCCATGCCCCCACTTCACAAGGAGGGACTCTGCACCGTCTATCTGAGGCACAGTGGCATTGCAATCAAAGATAAACTGGGAGCTCCTAACACTACCGGATTAAGCCTATTGTAGGCCATTCTCCTTAAAAAAAAAATTTCCCCTCCTAAGCTGAGAACCATGTCCATAAACCTATTAGAAGCAGGAAGGTCAAAAGTCAAATAATCTGAGTGCGTGCAACAGTTTTGCCCTCTCCCTGTTGTATTCCGGCCTGCTGGGCTGTTGAAAGGACTTAGTGTGATGGATCATCTTCGGCCTATTTTTTTTTTTTTTTTTAAAGAAAAAAACTTTTTTGCAGTGGGTGAAATCTCTCAAGTCAAGATTTTATCCCAAGCAGCCTTGTGCTTTTTTAAGCCGTGGTTCAGCCTGGCCCCTGAAGATTTAATAATAATAAAGTTGGAAGGGACCTTGGAGGTCATCTAGTCCAACCCCCTGCTCAGGCAAGAAACCCTATACCAAGGAGGGCTCCCTCATTGCAGTGCAATGCCACTGACTGTGGTTTTCCCAGTAGTAATTCAAGGTTGTGTGAGTTGGACCATAAGGCAGGCTGAGCACCCAAGAATGGTTGATGGTTAAGAGTCTCTTGGACTGCATAGGACTCCACAGTTCTTCTTCTCTTCCTCTCCTTCTCCTCCTCCTCCTCCTCCTCCTCCTCTTCCCTGCAAACCCCTCTCTCTTTTAACTAACAATGATCATGTTACCTAGTTGGGCAGTGGTGAGATTCAAATATGTGAACAACCGGTTCTCTGTGTGGATGCCGCTTCCGGAAGTCCGTTCTGGGCCTGGGCAACAAAGAATTAGCTTCCGGTTCTGCCGAAGTGGTGCGCACCGGCTGGATCCCACCGCTGTAGTTGGGTCATGAAACATCTGCAAGAAAAACTAACAAGCTCAGAGAACACCAAGGACCCCACAGTATTCCTCCTCCTCCTCCTCCTCCTCCTCTCTACGAACCCCTCTGTCTTCTAACACTGATGATGTTCCCTAGTGGGGTCATGAAATGTCTGCAAGAAAAACAACCTAGCTCAGAGAGCACCAGGGAACCTACAGTCCTCCTCCTTTTCCTTCTCCCCCTCCCCTCCTCCTCCTCCTCCTCCTCCTCCCTGCAAACCCCTCTGTCTTCTAACTAACAATGATCATGTTACCTAGTTGGGTCATGAAACTCCTGCAAGAAAAACTACCAAGCTCAAAGAGCACCAAGGACCCCACAGTTGTTGTCGTTCTCCTCCTCCTCCTCCTCCTCCTCCTCCTCCTCCTCCTCCCTTCTAGCACTGATAATGTTACCTAGTTGGGTCATGAAACGCCTGCAAGTAAAACAACCAAGCTCAGAGAGCACCAGGGACCCCACAGCCCCCCTCCTCCCCCCTCCTCCTTCTCCTCTTTACTAACTGCAACCATTCACTTAACAACAGTGGCAAGGAAGCTTGTAAAACGGGGCAAAACTCACGTAATTAATGTTTCACTTAGTGACCTAAATTTTGGGCTCAACTGTGGTCGTAAGTCGAGGATTAACTGCAGTCATTTTTTTTACTGAGTCACCGTCTCAGTCTTTATCCATTCCACTCCGCTCACTCGCCTTCCTCTTCTCCTCTGCTCGTAAAACGATCATTTGATTTCCTGAGACGCTTCCTGCCCATCGGCAGGGATGCCACCTCGGTCAGCCGTAACCCGAGGAAGAAGCAGCCGTTTGCTCTTCCGCCTGCCAAAAAAAAAAAAAAAAGCTGAGGTAACTTAACTCCCAGAGGCTCCTCTGGACGGCGCAGGCCAAACAAACATGAGGATTTGGCCGGTTTTGAAGTGGGCCCTCGGCGAGAGAGTTTGCAAATAACATTTTGGGCCTGCTCCAGAGCCTGCAGGCTCTGCAAAATTCCTTCTCCTTCCTCTTCGGGGTCGGCTGCTGGCGAGCGAGCGAGCGAGCGTCCTGGGTTTTGTGGACGCAGCTGAAGGCCTTCCGGTTTGAAAGGCAAACAGGCCCGTTAAACGGCAGGATAAACGGACTTCAGATTAAACGCCGTGGTGCCATCGGGGGTTGTGGTTCCGGAAGGCGGATCTGCGCCTTGCGTGGTTTTTACTGAGGGGAAAGAATATTTCGAGCTCCGGGTTGAACTGTGGGGTCCTGGGGGCTCTCGGAGAAGGGGGGGGGTTCTTGCAGACGTTTCATGACCCGACTAGGTAACATCATCAGGGATAGGAGGAGGAGGAGGACTGAGGGTCCTTGGTGCTCTGTAAGCTGGGTGGTTTCCTTGCAGACGTTTCATGACCCAACTAGATAACATCATCAGTGCTAGAAGGGAGGGGGAATTGCAGAGTGGAAGAGGAGGAGGAGGAGGAGGAGTGGGGAAAGGACTGTGGGGCACTTGATACTCTGAGAGCTTGGTGGGTTTTTGCAGACATGTCCTTACCCAACTAGCTAGCATTATCAGGGCTTATTTCTTGGCTGGGTATTAATCCTGGGGTTAACCTCTGCTTATATGAGTACTGATTCAATAATCAAGGTATGAACGATACCTCAATCTAGGAACTACCGAGGGCCCTCCCTCCAACACGAACAGGGCAAGCCACGACTAGGATATAAACAGAGAGCAAACCCAGCGTCCTTCTAGCATGGATGATGTTACCTAGCTGGGCCATAAAACGTCTGCAAGGAAACCACCAAGCTCAGAGAGCACCCACAGTCCATTTCCTCCTCCTCCTCCTCTTCCTCCTCCTCCCTTCTGGCATTGATGATGTTACCTGGTTGAGTTATGAAACGTCTGCAACAAAACCACCAAGCTCAGAGAGCACAAACGACCCCACAGTCCTCCTCCTCCTCCTCCTCCTCCCTTCTGGCATTGATGATGTTACCTAGTTGAGTTATGAAACGTCTTCAACAAAAGCACCAAGCTCAGAGAGCACAAACGACCCCACAGTTCTCCTCCTCCTCCTCCTCCTCCTCCTCCTCCTCCTCCTCCTCCTCCTCCCAGCAATTCCCACTCTGGCTTCCTCATTGACTTTGCTTGTCAGACGGTCGCAAAATGGGATCACATGACCCCGGGACTCTGCAACCGTCATAAATATGAGTCAGTTGCCAACCGTCTGAATTTTGGTCATGTGACCATGGAGATGCTGTAACGGTCGTTAAGTGTGAGAAACAGTGATAAGTCCCTTTTTCAGGGCTGTTGTCACTTCAGACGGTCACTAAATGGACTGTGGTATATCCAGGAGGACCATCTATTTTTTGATTGGCTTAAGAAATCCTGTTGTTGCAAGGAATAGACCATGGAACAGGAGGGAATTTTGCTTTCGCACCCGGTGTGCCCTCGAAGTAACCCCCCTAATAAAAATAAGGTGAGGAATGTGTCTTTTTCCTTCTCGCTTCCCATTTTTGTGCCCCCCCCCCCCATTGTGCATTCGTTTAATCCGTTTATTGCCAAAGAACCCGGTGGCTGAATGAAGCGGAGAAGGATTTTATTTCAGTGTTTTGTGTGTTTGTGTGTGTTTTAAGCTGCATTAATTTAAGGCTTTTGCAATTTGCGGCTTTCCGGGTTTATTGGATCTTAACTCCCATTGTGCACAGCCAGTGGGGCCTTGGGGGGAGGTTTGTAATCCCACCTATTTGGAAGGGAAACCGCCAATTCACCAACTGGCTTGCGGAGAAGTAATTGTTTGGGAAGCTGCTTACGGTCCGAATTGTGATCCAAAATCAGACACTGTGAGGCTTACAATCATGCATTATATAATTAGTCCTCGGCTTACAACTAGAATTTTCGTTCCTAAGCGTGGTGGTTTGTTAAGTGAGCTTGCGCTTAATTTTACGACCATTTTTGGCCACGTCGGTTAACTGAATCACTGCAGTTGTTAAGTCAATCAAGCATTATATAGATAGTCCTCGACTTACGACTAGAATTTCCGTTGCTAAGCGTGGCAGTTGTTAAGTGAGTTTGCACCTGATTTTATGACCTTTGTCAAAGTACCGTATTTTCCCGGCGTATAAGACGACTTTCTAAACCCTGAAAATCTTCTCAAAAGTCGGGGGTCGTCTTATACGCCCAGTCGTCTTATACGCCGGAAAATACGGGTATTCAGGCAGGCTTCCAGAGTTCGGCTGGCAGGATGCAGGTAACCCCTCCCCCCGTCCTGCCGCCTCCCGCCGC